TGTCTAAAGAGCTCGTATATATACATGCTATGGGCAAAAAGAGCTTAGCTTCAAAGGCTTCAGTCATTTTGCTTACTTATTAAGGGATTTTGCCTTCTGAAAACTTCCATCGTCTTCTAACCCCAGCTGATTTAAACTGCCTCAGATCTATCAAAATTAACTTACCCCAGCTGGGAATGAGTCCCTGGAAACTTACAGCCATATATAAAATAACTGAGAAAGTAAACGTAAACACAGTTGGAACACGGCCTGTGGAAATACAGTGTAGTTCTGAACAAGTGCATTACAATCCAGTCCCAACTGTGCTAGACTGAGGCTCCAACTCAGCTCTGCTCCATGTGCCTGTCTGCCCAAAGTAAGCTTGCACTTGTATTTTTATGTTTTTTTCCCAGCAGAAACTCACATATACTTGCAAAATTGTCCCTTTTAAGGTAATCATATACCTTAGTATCAGAATAATGAAGCCAGTTTGGAAGCATCCTAGTTAAGTTTCAGTTAGATTTGTGTTGGTAAATGATTCATTTGGAGGCATCCCCATATTGGTGTAACCATGCTGCTAGTTAGCAATACTCCTAACATCCCAGAATGCTTTACTGCACATCTAGACCATATGTGCCATTTCTCTTTAAATGCTGGTCAAGAGTTCATGACTGTGGGAAGAATGTAAATGTAAACTTCATTATAATTATGGTCTGTGCTTACTCACAAAAGGCTCTGGGTTTTCTAGCCCTATAAGGGGACAATATGACTATTCACCTCTCTTTGAGTAGGCAATGGAATGCCAAGACGCATTGATGGCTGGGCAGAGGAAATGGGGGAGAAGGGATGGTTTGGGGATATTTTACCAGTACTATGCCAAAGCCAGAGGGCAGTAACATAGAAACATCTGAAGACATGCAAACTTAGAAGAATTGGCCAAGATTCCTGGCTGAGATACCCCCACAAAACCCCAGAATGCACTGGACAACTTTACAATAGCCACAGTGAGGAAGAAATGTCTTTGGAAATGACCCTGGCAACCATAGATGCTAATCAGGAAAAAAGGACTCCAGATAGTCAGGATACCTTTGGCTCATCTGACACTCAACCAAAAACACAGACAGCTACCAGCAGCTTGAATGACAATTCCACTGAGGGGGGTGCTCACTCATTGCAATTTACTTCTGTGTTACAATATTTTTTTCATTTAGTGCCAGTAACTTTTATGTCTTGAGGATCTGGCTGTGCTCTGTTAGTTTAGCAGATACAGCTGCACAACAGAGAAGACAAGTATGCCTCTGTACAATGCCTTTAATGCTCTACCCTATCCTCACCTTAAAACAGTGCCCAGTAGCATAAAAGCTCTTTGTTTCAGGAGGTATCCCCCTGTTCCTCCATGCAGCAAGGGGAGAATACCAAGCAGAACCACACAAGCTGCTTCATGTCTCCTTCAGCCCAGTCATCAAGCCCTACCCCACCATCCCCAGGCCATGTGGTGCCTCTCAAGATGGCAGCCAAGCAACATGGAGAAAAAAAATATTTTAAAAGATCAACCCATTGGATTGAAATGATTTCATCTGTAGCAAGAAATATTGGTATGGAATACATGCATGCCAAGCCACATTATGGTTACAACCCTGGTCATTCTTTGAATTTTGGCATTTCAAGTTCTAGGTGGTAAAAGCCATTTAGGTCTCACAGGTTTCTCTCTCATATACATATATGCACATGCACATACACACAATCCAGTATTTCTCGGAATTTCTGCAGACAAGCCAAACCACTGAAACCATTCACAGAAGAGCATAACAAGCTTTACATGACTACCACCAAGACAGCAGGTGCTACGTAAAGCATTTACAGGAGTTGTAAAATGTTATTGATCCTTGTAGCCTCCCGTGCCACTCACCAGCACACCTCGTTCCTATGGGTTTTTCTGGTTTCGCTGTCACTTGAGGAAAAGACAGCTTGTTACTGGGTTAGATTCCAGAAAGTCCCTCAGGGGTTCTTACCTGCCACATCTTGCTGGAATAAATTAGTTTAATTGGGAGGAAGATGGTATGTCCCACCTTTCCTGGTGCCTTTCTTCAGTCTTCCCGTCTGTTTTCCTGCTTGAGGCTCCAACTCCTCTATACCCCACCTAGTGCCAACCAAAGGTGTTATTTTCCATTTTCCAGCTCTGATATTCTGGCTCTTTTAATTATGTTGGTTGGATTTGGACACTGTCTCGCCTGGGTTTTCTTAGGCCATACTTGGTCCAGCCCAAACTCCTTCCCAACCCCAGGTTACCTTGCTCCCCAGTGTCTCTCTCCCTCTCTCGGGTCTGTACTTGCTGTGGTACAGACATCCGTCTCTCCTTTTCTCCTCAGGTTTCTGCTGGGTCCAATTTTGACTGGAGATACCTGGAGTCCAGGGTGTTGCTTCAGATAAGTCACTCAGCCTTCTATGGCTCAACTTATCTTTGAAGGCCCCTTCCTGGGGCAATCACCTCAGTGGGGCTCTGTTGTGCTCCAGGCCGCTCTGGGCCCACTGTGGAACCCACTTCCAGTCCCCTGTGCTGCTTGTCTGCCAAGCCTTTTATCCCAACTTCAAGGGGCCAGCTGGCAAATCGGCACTGGCATGCCACCATAAAGCATGCCCATGCCGGCATAGGAGCCAGTCCCAGCTCCTCCTGGATCCATCGTTCCTTTTTCTCCTTTTCTCTTAGCACGGTGTTTTTTTCTGCCATGGTTTCACTTTTGCTGCACTCCCGGCTCAGCGCAGCATCCTGCTGGCTCTGCTCCTCACTCACTCAGGGTAAGTCTTCTCTCATGGCTCCATGCCTGCCACAATCCTGAAGTGCACTTTGAAGCGCACAGAGAGCAGTTAAATGACTGGTGCAAAAGGCTGAAATTTAACTGCCTCGAGTCTCATTTTTCAATGAAAGATACTTGACCAAATACCAACCCTTCCAATCTGCCACTAATATTTACCTCCTCTTGTCAAAAGATCAGAACAGAGTGACTATCTGGGAGAAGGACCATCTGAAAGAGTGACTTCCTAGAAGCAGGACAGCCAGTGGACAATGGACTCCGAGACTGCTCTCAGAACTTGGCATTTGATTGCTGTAGACTGCAACCACCAGAAGCTTCCTTCCTCTGAACACCAGCTCATGCTACAGTACATGCTTCTGAGGGCAGGAGATTTTTCAGCCACTTTGTATGACCCAGGTAAAATAGAAACGTAACACCATTTTTGCGGGGCTGGTACAGCACCCTATGCAATTCAGATTGCCAAGAACATGCTTTAGAGAACTTTAGTCTTTTCTGCATCCCTATATGTGAACTAGGTTTTGTTCTTCTCAGCCTGAAACATGAAAAATAGAATCTTTCCCAGAGGTGTCTGATTACTGTCATAACTTCAGTCACCATGTGCACAGTGTATCATAGTCAAAGAAGTAAATTAAAGTTCAATTGTAATTACATAATGATCTGTGAGGTAAACAGGTATTATACTGGAAGTTATTAAATAGAATGTTAACCTTTTGGATTAGCGTAAGAGCCAAATTCTGGTGCAAGTTATACTGGAGTAAATCCAAAATAACTCTACTGCCTTTCTCTGTGCAAATACCACATGCCAGTGCTATTCTGGATGGAAACTAATTGATTAATACTAACAAGGGCTGAGAATGTGCAATAAGAGAAAATGCTCTTATGGAGTATGGGCAGATTTTGGCCTTATATAAATCTCCAAAACAGTAATATGATTAATTACCTACACTTAACCCCTCCCAAAATAAAAAAAAAGTTTTTCCAACTGTTGTACTAACCCCAAAAGTCCAAACCCAATATAAGTTTCCACAACACTCAACTTTTGCTTTTAACCTATTAACAGTTTCTAACAGCTGAAGTTTCAGACTAAAGTGGAAATTCAGAGGAAAGTAAAGGCAAAATATTCATAATGCATATGTCTTTAACTATACTAGCACTAGGATATAGATACAGAGATAGTCTCATATTCATGCTCCTCTTAAACAAACACTGATATACTCCAAAGTTCTTTGAGTACCACTGTTTTGTTTAAATAAAGTCTGCTTCTTTCTTTTATTAAAACTGACAAAATGAACAGTTCTTTCTCCGGGTGGATGAGCACAGTATTCTAACAACCTAATTTCCAGTATGGATCACATGGAGATAACTTAAGTGCTAATTAAATAGTGTCCTCAGTAAAAAATATTCACTCAGAACAAGTAAAACTGACACCGTGCTTCCAAAGATGAACTTCCAATCTTTGAATATGGACAGGCCTTCAATTCCTACACAGGGAATTTGCAATACCACAAAAACTTGGTAAAAAATGAGGGATCTACAAGTACTTCTGCCCCTTGACTTTAGACTTACAGAGGCAAGGTCTCCAGCCAGAGAGCAATAGAGGGCCACTTCTTGATTCTCTCCAGCCTCAGGGGAGCCCAATTATTGACAAACCCCATGGAGGAGGGAGGAAGAGTACAGGAATATGGGAGACTGTATTCCTGTCTCCCATAGGAGACCCCTCTTTGTGCCAAATGTAGCTAAACAGGTAGTACAAGTGGTGCTAAAAAACAGCAAAGGTGCTGTTTAAAGAGATAGCAACAATTTGTAACAAGCACTAGGGTTCTTCCATCACAAACTGCTTAAACACCTCTACATTCACTTTTTGTGCCAGGAAAAAGGTATTTTTCCTGACACAAATGTAATGCCTATCCATGCCCTTACAGGCACCAAAAAACCTAACTCCTGTGAGCAACAGTAGGGAAACTTGAAAAACTGCCCTTGTCTCACTAGCAAGACACAGGACAAATTGTCAAAGTACTATAATGAGGGTGTGTTGGATGATCTGTGGTTAGCAGCCTTCAAACTTAACTGGCACTACGTAAGTTTTGATTAAATGTAACCAATAACAGATAACTTCTAGAACTCAGCATTCTGGAGAAAGTGACTGACCTCTGGGTCTACTCAACCTGGAATAAAATAATTAAAGAAAGGCACAAAATTCAACTGCAGTAAGTTTCATAGTTAGTAAAGTATTGTTTATTGTACTTCAATATTCAAACAGCAGACGCCTTAGAAAAACAGAATTCCAACATTTTGAAATGTTAAAGGCCAAGCTTGACTCTGGATAAACAGGTTCATTGACCTAAACTTAATTCAACCCTTGTCAGACTAACTTTTTTGTTGGAGCTGAAAAAAACCAGTAGAGTCAACTTTCACTTCCTTGCACTGACGAAACCTTCGGAATGCATTTTTTCGTTTGTATTGAGCCAAACAATGAACAGGAATATAATGAATTAAGAACTGTAATATTGTTGTTGCATATTCTTCAATAAAAATTAAAAGCATATTTGCTTTCTTAAAACATAACCTGCTTTATCTCTGTTTTGTCTCAGAGTTTTTCATAATTCAAGAGTTTAACAAGATGCACTGGCTTTTATAGAGACAGCTGAACATTAAAACTGCATAATTAAAACTAACTAGGGACTTCCATACACTTGGGCAACTGCAGCTTTACATCTGATTACACAGGATCATCACCCTAGCAAGTGACACTTTGGGAGGAGGTCAGCTGGAAGCCACACCTGCATTCACCACCAATTCTGAGAATGGACAAAAGTCATAAGGTTCCAATCAAACCTGTCAACTCAGCTCCAGGCAGTGGGCCTGGTTTTGCTTACCAGTGAGTCAACAATTAAACCAAACAGCTCTGACCTCCTCCACACAGACCTTTTTAATTTTTGTTTTTTTAATGCCTTTCAAAAGTTTGACTGAAAAATAGGCGATTAAGTTTGCATTTGGTCTTTTGTTTTTTAAACTTTTTTTGTTGATAATTCAGGAAATTACAGGTTACCACCATTTTAATTCCATTGTGGGATACAGTTTCGGCTAACCAGTGTCTAAGTGAGGAAATAAATCCAAAAGAAAATACATTTTTCAGTCAGGAAGAGCAGCATTCCCACTAAAAGCTCCTGTCATCGCTTCCATTTCCTCACTCCTTTCTGACCTCATTGATGACTTTCTTATATTTCATGGTAACACTGGGCTCTTACAGCATATATTCTGGTAGATTTATCTTATTTGCCATGTAAAGCACTGGGTCCTAGTCAAGACCTATTAAATTTTGTAGTAGTTAAATAATTTCTGAAACTAAGGATTTTGCATTAAATTTTAACTATATCTTCAAATACGCCTAGCATTCTGCAAGTCTCCTTGTCATGAAAGCTCTTCCCACTGTATCTTTATACATGCAAATCCCCCATTGTTGACAGTACCTCATTAAGAAAAATATGTACTTATGGTATGGGCTCCATTCAAAGCAGAACATTTTTCCCCTCTCTCTTTTCTAATATGTTGCTACAGCATTCCTTCCTCTATATTGGTTTGGGCTTATGTCTGATGTCATATAACCAATCATACTGCACCACGTCAAACATAAGTCACTGTTGAGTGGTTTGCTTGACAGGAAAGAAGGTTTAAGTTTTACAATGTTTGTGTCTTCTGCCACTGCCTGAAGAATGACCTCCTGTAAAGCTACACACAAGGCATAAAAACAACTCCCTCACAAAAAAGACTATGACTGATTAAGGAGACTGAATTCTTTGCCTTCTGTACAGATGATATATAAGAAACAAATGTTGTGTCTCTGTTAAAGTGTTCGTTTCATGACTGAAGAAATGCAACCTGATGGAGAAGTATTTTTCTGACCTGCCACTGCCTGCACTACAGTAATGTCACGAACTAGGTTATAATTACCTGAAAACTCTGAACTATGGAGTTACTTTTATAGCTACAGATTTTGGCACTCTCAGGTATGTAAGATAAACTTCAGATTTATAATTGTGGCAAGTTATATATAATACTCTTAATAAATATCAATAAGAATTTCAAGTGAATACAACACAGTTCATGCAAAGCAGTAATTAACTTCTGCCTCTTTGGTTGCAGAGCTATTGCATCCTGACATCAGCAATTCTTTTCCTTTTTGCAAAGCCTTTGATAAGCCAGTGGTTCAGTTTCTAATATTCCTGGCGACTACAAACCCAGGTCACCAACAGCTCCTCTGAACCTTAATATTTCAAAAGTAGAATCTATTACACTCTATACAACTCCAGCTTTCTTTTATTAAAAACAAGAGTGGGAAAAAATAAAACTGAAACTTGTTATAAGTTCTGAAACACTATGGCCAAAATAAGGACCAAAAGTTTTCTTTTAGAACATTAATTATTAGAGATGGATAGAACTGGACCAAAAAGCCTATTTACTATTGAAATAAACTGTATATTACCTACACTCGGTCATTTTCCTTCATCTGCATCATAAATAGGTCATATAGTCTGAATTACTTTTGAAACCTGGTATCAACAAAATCCTTTTCAAATAAATTAAGTTCTTCTAACATTACATTCAAGCAGCTAATCCCAGGGTGCACTTTTTCACCTATTATTTTGGTTGGACAATCTGGCTTCAGGCAGACATTCAGACAGAAGAAGAGTCAAGTGTTTCATTCAAAATCCATCACCAATAACTGTACTGTTTCTCTGCATATAGATTTAAAATCTACAACCATTTTTGCACACACTTACAGCATAATGGGTATACACCTACAGGGGGAAATGCAAAAAGTCACAGTCCCAATAATCAAATAGGTATATGTCTACACTTCATATTCTAGTATCTTAAGGTCATCAAGCAGTTCTTGTGCCAGTGTTTGCAGACCTACATTGCGGCTCTTTGACAGTGCTTTGATACGCTGAAATGGCAATGTGTCACGCATCTCAGGTGCTGACTTGGCTAAAACTTCTGGTTCTAGAATCACAGACTGGAGAAGCCGCAGTACATGAAGACACACTTCTGCATCTGGATCTAAAAAGGCACAACAAAAGATTTCAGTTATTTATTATGAGCATACTTATTATACAAGTAGCACCACACCACCAGGGGAATAAACTGTTGATTGCTGAGGTACTGTCATTCTCTCAGCTGCTGAAACCAGGAACATGGGGAATTATAAACCTGGCTTTGAATCAATTTTATCCTCCTCAATTCCTTGTGTTAAGCACAGCTTGGAAAGCACTTACATTCAGAAACATTTTGCTCCTTTCTCCATTATTCTCATAAGTCTCATAAATATATGCATTTAGCAACAACTTTCCTGTAACCTGCGAGCAGCCAAAATTTGCTACAGTTTATCCTACTCCAATCAAATTGTAACCCATTATTATTTAGTCTGTTTTCAAATTACTAATCTGCAGTTTTCTTTCAACCTTTTCTTTAGGTTTACTTTTATACAAGGTTCCAGATTACATGCAAGTTCAATAAAACCTCAATTTTTATAATGGCAGTTTTATGCCTGTCATGCAAGTGTTAAATTCAATCGATACAACTGAAGTCTCGGGTACTTTGGTGTATGTGATGAAGGAAGATTCCTACTTTTGCTGCTTAGGAACATGCAGGAGAAACCTTGTTGGAAAGACATTTCATATTGGTCTCTACTTTTAAAAACACGTAAGATGTGTTTTTAATTACTGAAAATATTTAGGAGCAACACTGGTTAATTATACACAAGTCTTGCTGGGGTATGTTGCCTGTGACCACAAGGAGTATCCAATAGAAAATTTTTTTTTCAATGCTCTATTCTGTATATTTCAAATGAGAATGTTTAATACATTTTATAGCATAAATATCTACTTATTTGAATTGTTCACTGTGCATTTCTGATGTGCATGTCATTATGATATTTAGACTACAGCAAAACTGTGATAGTGGTGTTTGCAAATGTCAGCAAAATTAATTCAAATGACTTTGCACACCAGCATTGCCAAAGGGACTAAAACGTCACAGTAGGATCATAAATCTCAAGTAGCAATAAATCACATTTCCTTGAGTGGGAAAGGAAGTATCTAGTGGGCTGGAGCAAGTTTTGGGTTTTTTTTATTATTAGTCAGTTTACTTAACACCTTTATTAGTTATCCAATAACAGGCTAAGTAAAATGCTAATTCAATTCAGATATTACATTGGGTGGTATTGAAAAGTCAGTCAAGAAAACACAGCAGAAAGGTGAGAAATTATGATAAAAAATGATGAGAAGGCAATTTATGAAACTTGTACTGGTGCTGCCTCCAGTTCAGCTGAATTAGTTTTAAGCACTGGTGATTTCTAGAAAGTAGTTTCATAGACATTAGGGCTGGAAGGGACCTCGGAAGATCATCGAGTCCAGACCCCCGCCCGAAGGACAGGAAGTCAGCTGGGGTCATAGGATCCCAGCAAGATAAGCATTCAATTTACTCTTGAAGGTGTTCACTGTAGGTGCTTGAACCACCTCCGATGGCAGGCTGTTCCAGACCACGAGGGCTCAGACAGTAAAGACATTCTTCCTAATGTCCAGCCTGAAATGGTCTTGCAGGAGTTTATGACCGTTCGGCCTCGTCATCCCTTGGGGCACTCTGGTGAACAAATGTTCCCCCAGATACTGGTGGTCACCCTGATAAACTTACAGGTGGCCATCAGATCACCCCTGAGCCTGCGCTTTTCCAGGCTGAAGAGCCCCATGACTCTCAGCCTGTCGTTATAAGGTCTGTTTTCCTGACCTCTGATCATGCCGGTGGCTCAAAACTGGACACAGTACTCCAGCTGCGTCCTCACCAAGGGCGAGTACAATGGGAGACTGATGTCCTGGGATTTGCTTGAGAAGCATCTATGGATGCAAGCCAGAGTTTTGCTCGCTTTACTAGCCGCAGCATCACACTGCAGGCTCATATTCATCTTGTGGTCAATGATGACCCCCAAGTCTCTTTCTTCCATAGTGCTAGTCAGCGTAGCACTGCCAAGGCTATAAGGATGCTGCAGGTTTTTCCTCCCAAGGTGGAGAACCTTACATTTTTCAGTGTTAAACACCATCAGGTTTTTGTCTGCCCATTTCCTGAGCCTGTCCAGGTCAGCCTGGAT